CTTCCTCTCCCATCCTCCATTCACTTCGCGTATACCTTCACTGTATCTTCCTTAAGCTGCGGTACAAATCAGGTTGTGCTACAGCTCAAGGAGTAGCTTCCCGATTGATATGTCCTTTGGTTCAGCAGCACCTACACTACTCTGACAGGTATGTCACCATATATTCTGTGGTAGTCACAGCTGACGATTATCTAGATGTGTAATCATATGTAGCTGGCATGTCAGGTAATAGGTGTCACTCATGTAAGCTCATAAGTCTGCTGTTGTGTTTTAAGGGCTCACACTTTTAGCTTTGTGCAGGGTATCCATGCAAGTCTCAGCAAGTCATGACAGATGTGAAGAGTGCACTAAGCACGGTGTCTGTCTGGAAGATTAGCATGTACTGTAGTGTAGTAATAGTCCCTAGAGCTTTGTATCTTCCCTAGTTTTGTCAGGAATATATTGCTTTTTATTGTCAAATTTTCATGCAAATAGAGCGAAAATTCAATGGAAAATGTGTAATTTATTCAAACGGGGACTGCCGACGTATTCAAACCCCGCTGCAGAACATCTCGGGAATATGGAAAGACCAGCCCGTTACCCGATCTCGTTAGCTAACCGTTAGAGCTTGCCTAACGGTGCACTGATGTTATTTACTTATCTTTCTGACAGTTAGGTAACGAGGAGACGCGCGTCACGTACCGCGCAGTGAACTGTTCGGTAACGGCATCAACTCATTTATACCTCACGGCGCGCCGGCGGTGTAGGCATCCATTCCTCCCTTGCAATCAGAGAATGTAACAGCGCAATTATCCATTCTTCGTCTACCATGCCACGAGTGTAAGCAGGTCCAATAACTAAAATTTCGAGGGGAACTTGGAAGAGGGAAGAGGTTGAGTCAACACCGTTCCGGCGCTCGCTCCAAGAGATCAGCGCTATCTTATCTCTAGGCTAGGCTAGGCGCCTAGCCCAAGTTCTGCGCACTGGCATGGATGCTATGCTACGACCACGGATCCACACCATAGGAATCTCAACATCATTTCGCATTTATACGCAATTTTAACATTGTATTCAACAGCCTATCAGGTATGGTGTTGGGCTGCACGTCTTGAGGAGCTGCTTCATGCTCTGCATCCTCTCCGGGTCTACGACTCTGTTGAGGGTGTGATCTATGAGTGCGAGCTCTTCAGAAGTAGCGTTCATGCTCAGGCGATGTTGATCCTGCACAGAGGGCGGTGTGCTGTCCACGATGACCCCGTATTCCTCCTCGAGCTGCGACCGGATCAGTGACGGAGAAATCGGCTCGTCAGATTGTGTGGGAGAAATCTCTCCTTCCACACCTCCCAGTAGCAGCGCATACATGATTTGTACAGCCGAAGCGTCGCCGTTTTTGAGTGCTACATTGTCATGCTTAAGAAAATGGACGCAGCCTGAATGCGGGTCCTTACCTCGGTTACGATGCAAGATAAACTGAGGTTTTCTTCGCAAATCAAACATTACGTTGATTCGTTTTTGACCACCCGGATCCGTGTTTTCTGGTACAAAGAGCTGGAATAATCACATTCAAATAAACTGTCCGTTGACCGATCATGATGTTTGGCGGGGCCACGCACCACATAATCTAACCAAAGATCTGTCAACAGGCAAGAAATTTGACGGCTGAGAGCTGTTGACCGTTGAAATTGTGGCTCTGCATCTGGTATCAGATCTTCTGCAGAATAGAAACTCTTTGTACTTGGGAGATCACAGATCTCTCGTTCGGTGAGGGGCTTTCCACAGATTGCTTTGTGCGGGTACGGTTTCCCGTGCTTCCAGTCGCGACGCTGACATTCCCTGTCATAATGGATTATTTATTGTACGTATACACATTAAAGAATCAGACAGTAAGCGAGCAGCACTTACGACGAACAGTAGAATATAAGTCGGTCAACCTTACGGCACCCGCTACAAGTACGAAGCTTCCTGCCACCTTCCTGCTCCATACGGTTTGGTGTGAAGCCACAAGAGTTGCATGGATAGTCCTTCTTAGAGCCAGCTTCTGTTGGAAAAGCCTGCTTAAACGCGGCACGGAGTTCTCTGGCTTCGTTCGGTGGAAGAGAACCTGCGATTTGACGTAAGGACAGGCGCGTCATGGAATTGACGGCTGCGGGCTTGGTGACCTCTTCGTATCGTCCATACTAGGTAGATAAAGTCAAGAAAGGTCTGCCATAATTCAAGTAGAAAGGCTCACAAACACTAAAAAATATTCTTCACTACGCGGGTCAAAAGCGAAGCCCTCCCAAGGGTAGACATTCGTACTGCCGCCTTGTATCCAGGAATGCTACGTTCGCTTGCTGAGAGTTTTACGAGGCGATCGATGGCAGGATGAAGTGGGAGGATTGGAGTTATGTCTTCAGAGAGTATGGCAGACAGAGGCAACGTGAGGGACATCACCAGATCGAGGTATGCCTGTCCGCCGTCGGAGGCGAGGTGATTGACTGAAGATTCGGGACACCATCTTCGCTCCACCTCCATTTGAAGCATCGGCGCTGAGACCATAACATGGTATACACCCTCCTCTATGCAAATCCTTCGTCGCTCATCGGAAGCTCCCTTCCAGTCACCCTCGAACCTCTCCCAGGCCTCACCGGTTATCTTCGTGAGCGCGACTTGCTCAATCATGAGGTCTTTTGCTATCCTCTCCATGAACAGAATGCAGTGATCAGTGTTCAGCACCGCAACGCGGTCCTTTGGGATCATGTGCGAGACGCTGCCGCATTCCGGTAGGCGGTCTGGCGGTTCGTAGTTGCGCCTGAAGTCGTGATCCCAAGAGGCCTCCCATGTTCGACGAGAGGTATAGATGTCCGGTCGAGGGTCTGTCCACGCAAACAACGCCATGGTCAAGCTGCTAGGTTATGTTCCAGATACGGGTGGTAGATACAGAGAGGCGGTTACCATTACCCGACGCCTCGCGGCGGTTAACGCCAGCTTGAAATTCGTGCAGCGTCATCATTCCCGTCAAAATTTCCAAGCTTCAAATGGCGCTATGCTCGAGGCAGGCCTTAAACATTTAATGTACTGGGGATAACAACCAAATCATAACTGTTCGTTACGGTCATGCAACACTGCCATTACGTTAATACAAAGGATGCGGTCACACGAGCGACACAGACTACACTTCAAAGCACATAGATAAAGCATAGATTCAGCAGGTAAATACTTTCACTGATCGTACTGCAAAATGCAAACGTTAGCATACGCTCTCGAAGTCATCGGCAGAGCCAGCTTACCACCAGAGTCATCGCGCTGGGCCAATATGTCAAGTTTCCGGTCTCGTCCAAGTACACAGGGCTCTCTGTACCGTAGACGTCAAGCGAGAGGCCAGCAAGGCGGCCAGCGGCGCCCTCTGCGCGGCGCAGGTTCTTCAGCCGGAAGATCACCTTAATTACCTCGGAGACCGTCTTCTCGGTAAGCTCAATGCCGAGGCACTCGTGGAAGCCTGATCCCTGCAGGTGGAATTTGTCTGCCGGTCGCCGCGGGTTAACTTTCAATGGATCGGGGAAGTCCTTCGGCTGAAGGCAAGTCAGTGCGTGTCGCTCAGACAAAGGAGAGACGCGCGTACGTTCCGATGCGCGTTCTTGACGCTTATAAAGACGGGGTCGCCAGCCTGGACAGAGACCGTCTTGCCTTCGCCCAAGGGAATTGTGCCTGGCTTCTTCGCCACGCGAAGGACAGCGGGTATCGGATGGAGCCCTTCACACACGTACTCAGTTTCACGGTTGAATCATCACACGTGGAGAGCCTTACTTTGTGCCTCGCGGATGTACCCCCACAGCAGCGCCTGCTGTCCCGGGTCCTTGCTATCCGCCTCCGCCAGCCGCACGATCTCCGCACGCTCCT